TCTTTCTGAGGGGACGGTTTAAGGTACTGAAAGATAGATTTACATTTTCCTCTAAGAGTTCCAAGAGAGTCTCCATAGATTTATGATAACGGCAGAGTGGTGTGGGAAAGAGGCAGGAGGCCTGGGTTCTATTCTTGGGCCTGGCATTAAATCACTGTATCACCTTGGGCAAGTCACTTAAGACTTGTTCCTCAGTTTCCCCATTTGACACAAGGGGATAAAACCACTACCCACCTTTGTAAAGTACTTTGAGATCTGCAGGTGATGAGTGCTACATAAGAGCTAACTATTAGTATTGCTTTAATGAGGGTGAACAGATATAAAGGAATTTGCCCCAATAAATTATTCATCAAATAGTAGCTTTCCTTTTATGGTAGTTAAATTCTCTTTTCTTTAATATAAAAATTAAAGTTTACTCTCTCTGCAGTGCACATAATCATTTACTGTTCTTTAGTTTTACGAGCATTGACAACTAGCATTACTTGTAAATGCTATGATACCCATAACAAACACCATTTGTTGACATACTGTATTGATCTGACAGGAGCCTTAGTGCAACTACTGATCTGGGCTGCTCTTCTAAGTGGCACAAGGACAAAAACAGGTCTCAAGCATACATGATATGCCCCCAAACTGCCTTCCCTACTCCATGGTTCTCTGGTAATGAGTAGACTGTCTATTCTGCCAGAAAACCACCTCCCACCCGTGATGGCTTCCGACCACAAATGGTATCTGCATGAGTCTTTCTTTGCTCATGTTCCTTCCTCATGCTGTCCTTTAATGCTGATAGCCTGTGCTCTTAAATGTTAAGTGTACAGTGCAGGAGCAAAAGCAGTGTGCTGCAAGATGAATCTACCCTTGATTTCATGTATTATAGGGTCGTGGGAGAGGGGGAAATGTATTATAGGGTTGTGGGAGAGGGGGAAATGTATTATAGGGTCGTGGAAGAGGGGGAAATGTATTATAGGGTTGTGGGAGAAGGGAGGTAGAGAGGAAAAAACAAAACAAAGAGACAGAAGTTGCTTGTGCACCCAGGGGAAAGTAGACGGAGAAAGAAGAGGGGCTTGACTGTATCTTTAAGGCACAGTTCTGAGTTGGTGGAGGAATGGAGGCTTAACTGGACAAAACTGAGTTTTAACTTTGGAAATAAAAAAATCATCTTGTTTCAAGAAGTGCAGAGGAGCAACAGATTAATCATGAAACCTTATCAGTCAAAATGGCAGCCACCTGCTCTTCACAATTCTCTCTCACAGGTTTTTTAGTCTATGTGAGACAAGTTCCTACTGGACCATTGTTTACGTCACAAAAACCGCCGGCACCACCACCTTCCCTATTTGGCAATCTCAGCAGAGAGGTACTGACACTGTGATTATCTCTGGACCTCATGCAGGAGGATGTCTATAATCACTCTTCTTTCCCTGCCAATCAACATACGGGGTAGGGACAATCTGCCTTGGAGAGATAATTATACTGTATATGGGGCATAGAACATAGAAGTTACCAGGCTCTGTTCTGGCTGGAGATGCTGAGTTGTAATAAAGAATGAATAAGTACAGTTTTAGTTGCTATGACATACTAGCTAGCTGGTATGGCATAATATGTATTGTTGGGTCTATCCTGATTCTAGTTTATTTTTTTGAAGTATTACTTGTGCTCTTATGCCATAAATTAATCTATCTGCCAATGGCAACAATCTCCTTATGTTACTTTTTCTTTCCCTTCCTCCTCCTACTTTCTGAAATGGGTGACTTTTATCCTTATAAAGGGAATCCAGGAATGCCCTGCATTTTTATTCCTATGTATCTTGCTAAGAGCAGGACTCAAAATGATTGAGTGTTCCCTGCAGTATTCATTTACAGCTGTAATAAGTATCGCTTTTGTACAACTAATAGATTCACCTTACGATCTGTAATTGTTTGCTTTAAAAAAGCAAACTTAGTAAAAAGTACAGACTATTATAATCAGCACAGTTTTGTTCCTAAAGCATTTTCAATAAAATCATCACACAGATCACAAGGCTGGAGTTTCCTCGGAGTAATACAGAGACCAGTTTGAATGTTAGCGGGCTGCATCCTGCTCAATCCTGTAATTTTTAATGTGGACTTCTACTCGGAAAAGTGATGGGTGTCCTGGGGTTCACCATTTATTGTCTCTCGATTTCCATATCAAAGGTGTTCAGTTTAGAAAAACAAACAATTTCACAGGGAAAATTAAGCCCCCGTTTACACCTGTTGTACCCACACTTTCTTTCATTTATGCCCTCAGTTACACCAGTGCAGCCTCTCAGTTGCACAGTTCTAGCTTACTGGAAGAAGTAAACAATCTTTTGATGATGCACAACTACAATAGAATCCAGTTCACTCACACTTAGATGTGTTGGCTCAGGAGAGTGAAACAGGATTAAAAAGCAGTACAAGTTATTTTTCTTTATACAGTAAGCAAGATGCAACTTTGAACACACATGGGGAGCAGATCTGCTGAGTTTAGAAGGTGACATTGTTTACACAGCCACTTTTCAGAGGAGAACCACATTTACTGAATTTAACTTTTTCATGGAATGTTAAGTAATCTTTCCCTACCCATCCACCAGACACATTCAACATCACTGCCGGAGCCCTTAATGGTTCCCATTTTCTCTACATAACACCTCTGTCTTTGAGGGTCCATTTCCTGGCCACCATCCATTTTGCTGAAAATGACAGAATTTGGCCTCCATTCAGAACTCATTTGTCCTGGTGAGAGGGTTTGCTGTTTATTAACACGTGGCACTTTCTCTCCTCCATCCACCAGGGGCTGAGTACAAGTGGCTTGCCAGGGGGTTGAGAGAGCAAGGAGAGTTATGTGAAACCTGTGAGTATCTTACCACCGCACATCCTGTCATTCCTCAGATAAGATATGACAGCCATCATAAAGATTATGATCACAGGCTAAGTGGCCTTGAGCATTCAAGAAGTATAGTAATCTCTTAGTGGGCTTTATCCTGTGGTACACTTTATTGGTAGTATGAAATGGAATTAAAAAAAATGCTGTATTTATTGGGTGTTATTGAGATGGGTATGACAACTTTAGACAAACAGAAAAGTTCAATTATATCTGAAATTCTAAAGCCATCTAGTTTACATTTTTTCCTTTTTTGTTCCTTTCTTATTATAATCACCTTTGTACAGAGCCAAAGAGAGAAAAAGAGAAAGCACTAGTTATTTCTCACTTCCATAATACAAGAAAAGGAAACCATTAGGATCTTTTGGAAAAATATCTGCATTAAAATATAAAATAAGAAAACAATATTGTCTAGAGTAGTTATAAATAAAAATAGTAAAAAGAAAAGTACTGTCAGTTTAATTATAAAACTAATCTTTTTTGCTCATTCCACAAAAGCGTGCAACTACTCTGAAAAGTGACACTGTAGACTTTCATATTTATTGTCTTTATTGAACTTCCAGATCAAAGCTACTTAATGTAAACTAAAAAGCCTGTTATTTTTCCTAACTGCCAGCATTGCAAATTCAATATGAGATCAGAAACAGAGAGCTGTGTATTTTCTGGCTCATGTATCATCAACTATAAAGTGTCTACTCTGAAAATTTAGCTGACGTCTCTGTTGCTGATGCATGAAGCAGAATAAAATCAAGCTCCCTTTCCCAGAGCTGCATTGGCTGTGCAGATTTAACAAAAGCAAAATGTGGTAAAACATTAATTTAATGAGTACAGTATGTAGCTAGAACTCTGAATAAACATGGGGTAGGACTACTGAGTAAGGAAGTGCCATTTTCACAGAATATAACTGCACATGAATGTTCTTTCATTTGTTTCAGTGATTTCTAAAACTAATAAGCTAAAACTTTATGGACACTAGACTCTGCTGACAAAAAAATCTGCATCAATGACACAATAAAAAACATTACACATCAAACATTTCTTGTGGAATATTTCCAAGATTTTTCAGTCATAGCTTTTCTATAAACACATTTGTTTATGTTGAAATTTCTACCATTTTGCATTGATACTATAAAAATCCTATTATTTGCTTAAGACAAAAGCTTTCTGAAAGCTTTAGACAGGGAAAAAAATTCTTAAATTAGCTTGAAAATTCAGTTTCCAGGGCAACAAATGCAGCTCTTCATACATCAACATTTCTTTATACTATTTTTATAAAATTAGTTACTGGAAAATTATAAGGCACATTTTAAATAAAGTAACTTGTTTTTTCAATTACTTTGATCTTTTTCTCCTAAACAAAATAGTTGGTTTCTCTCCTTTTTCAGAGGATATCAATAATATTGCTGAATTATTTTACCTAAGTTCTTCAGCTAAAACAGAAAGACTAAATCCCAAATGCATGCAGTATCTGTCTGTCCAGGTATTTATAACATAGCCTCTGAGTGCTTTTATAAATTTATGTATACACCCATTTTAATCATCTTTATGTCAATTCTTCTCAATCCATTAATTTATTTTTTCAAATTAGAGAGCATGTGTGTGTAGTGGTTAGAGCACACACACAAATAAGACTGAGAGTTAGGATTCCTGGGTTCTATACCCAGCTCCCTTTCTAACTCTGCCACTTTACTGCTCTGACTCTGTTTATCCATTTGTAAAATAAATCTAAATATCTACCTCACACAGGTGTTGTGAGGTTTGATTATTGTCTACAAGCTTCATTAAGATCCCCAATAAGTTTCTCATACCCACCCACCCCACACACAGACTCATCCATTACAAAATAAATACCACTCCTCATTCAAGCTATGTCTCCTACATACTGAAAGAAAGGAAAGATAGATTATTTCCATCTCTGAATATCTGGAAGGCATTTAGATGTAAGGTTCAATGGTCGATAGTAGCACCTGATACACTATCACTGAAATGAAAGGGCATCTTTCCAGTGATTTTAACAGGAGGATCAGACCCTAGGTGCACAATTTATTATGAAATAGATAGTATGTCTAAGGCTTTACAGCATCAGGATTGTCTTAAGAAGCAAAGAATAAACCAGTTACCTGCACATTTTACTCCCTGAGCAATGAGGCCCCACATAAAGTTGGCACAGTATTCACACCAGTGTGGACCCCTGAACGTGTGAACCTAGAAAACAGTAGCAGAAAGGACTAGATTATTTCACAGGCATAATATTCATGCGCATAAATGGGCCACAGTTCCCTTTTTACTAAGGTAATATTTGCATTCATTTCCTTTAATTCTGGTTTGGGGCTTACCACTGAAGGAAAAGATGACACAATCTAAGAGAAAGATTTAACTGCCAAGATTCTTATAGCCTTATGGAAAAAGGTGAGCTTTCCATCCCGAGGGCCATCCTGAACAAAGGAGTCTAGTCCTCAGGAAATGGCTTTGCTTCACACGAACAGATCTGTAGAGTCAAGTGATGGAATCGTCAGCCCCACCTGACCTAGATCGGTGCAGCTGGTCTAGGCTCTCTAAGCCAGGATATGTAAACTAGCAGACAGCCACAGTTTGCTGTGCTTCTCCTCCCCTGACCACCACCAGGGATGGGATTTCAGCAATGTGCGTTAGTGCTGTAAATGGAACTAAACGGCAACTGCTTTCCAACACAGAGAAGAGTATGTAAGGGAACTGGGGTCCCCTCATTTGGGATTTACGCTGCCTGTCCTCTACATATGGTCTTGCAGGATATATGCAGTGGGGCTGCAGGGCTTGTGCCTAAATCAGAAAGAGCCCTGCTAGGCAAATGTATTGGTACAACATATACTCCTGGGGGGATTCTGCAACAAAAAATTAAAAATTCTGTGCATATTTTAAAATTCTGCAAATTTTATTTGTCAAAATAACACAATATAATCACACCGGTTTTAATTATTTTTGGTAATTTATTTCAAAATACTTGTCATCAAGTATGTCTGTAACAATACAGACAACAACAAAAAATTCAGGACATTTTTTTTGCCAAATAGATTCCTTACTAGGCATATTAATACAGAACTCTGAGTAATTCATTTAAACTACAATACGTAACTGTATTTCCCGCACCCATCAGAAGCAGTGCAAAGGCTTGGAGGAAATCAGGGGTAATGGAGATGCTGAGGAAGAGGGAAGTAGATTGCTGGGAAGGAGCCTGGATGTGAACTTGGAGGGTTGTTGGATATGGGTGGGAAACTATGGAACAGGTTTTTTTGGGAGGCGGGGAGGAGCTTCCCCCATGCAGATCCTAGCTGACCCCTAGCCTCTCCCATTCAGTCAGGCACATATGCCCCTCTCCCCATGTGTCCTTGCACTCCCTGTCCACATGTCCCTTCGCCCCACTCAGACACCCACTCCGCCCCATCCCCATGTGGCCCTGCACCCCTCCCCGTCTCCATGTGGCTCTGTACCCCCTCTCGTCCCGTCTCTGTTCCCGCACTCAGCCACTCCCCTTTCCTTATGTAGCTCTGCACTCCCTCCCCCATCACCATGTGGCCCTGCACCTCTCTCCACCCTGTGCCTCCACCCCCATTCAGCCCCTGCTCCAGTCTGTCCTCTCCCACGAGCCCTTACAAGCCCGTTTGAACCCCCAGCAGCCCCACACTGTCTGTCTCCCCATAGCTCCTGTCTTCTGACCTGGCCCGACAGGTGCTGCGAAGAAGGCAGGCTCTTTCTCTTTCCTAGCTGGCTTGGAGCGGCTGCTGTGTTCTAGCACCACATTGCCCTCTGGGGGGCAAAATGCAGAACTGCAGCAACATTTCAGCAGAAGCTTTTTTTCTGAGCAAAAAATTAAAAATATGCGCAGCTCATTAATCATGTGCATGCGCAGTAGCACAGAATTCCCCCAGGAGTTTATATAGAAATGCTGAATACACACTCAGAGGTTCATTGGTTTAGTATAAAGGATTAACCTTTTTTCAGAACAATGTTACATATTGAAAACCTATCTGCATGAATTTAGTAAGCGGAAAATGAACAGGAATCCATTTAAGCAAGAACAGATTCAAAGCTAAGGAAGAAGCCAATGCTAGTCTCATTCCAGTCTTGCCTGCTTGTTCCAGTCCTTTAGCCACAATGAGCTGCCTCTGATTTATTTTAGTAGGTTTCCTGCTTAGAAAACCACAAGATTCTTAGCAGAGAAAATCATTATTTTGTTAACCAATGTAAAGGACTGAGTAGTTACTTGTAATAGATGATGAACTTAAATGAAATCAGTAATTGATGATCACAAAGTAATGAAATTCATAGTCAAGAATATTTTAGCCTTAACTCATTCAGTTCTGCTTAGATATTGACAGAGGGTCATCTTGCACATATATATGCAATACCTAATCGTAAGTGGATGTAGCAAAGAGAAAGGTGAACTTTTTTAAAACTTGGGTGCCTTAAGTTAAGAATCTAAATTCATACAGTATTTAGTGGATATAAATTATGGATCTGAAGTGGCCTGATTTTCAGAGGTGTCGAGCATCCACAGCTCCACTGACTCCAGTGGAGCAGGAATAGGTCAAAATAACACTTATCTCACACAAAATGAGTATTCAGAGCAGTTCATGGAAATTTTGGTAAACATTTGGGTATCATTAAGGTGTCCATAGTCCCCTAGAAATTGGTACCAATAAAGAAAAAGATGTAACTGCTATATGAGAGGTGTTTAGGTAAATCTAAGAGTCAGTCTGGAAACTTACTCCTGAATGTCATTGTGATTTTTGTATACAGTCAGGCTTTTAATGCTATGACAATCAGGTTTTTGTGGTATCTTCTTTGGTATTTTTAACCATAGGGTATTTGTAACTATATTAGGGTTAGACTGTGATACCAGTACTCATATTTAGCAATACCTTGCACCATGAGTAGTTCCACTGAAGTCAATGGGCTGCTTGTGAAGTATCACTGTCCAGCCTTGATATGTAACTAAAAACACATTAAAAATATTGACACTGTGTAATCCAGCCCATTAACCTCTTGTCTGGCTGACCCTCAGCATCTGCTTCCTCCATTCCTTGCCCCTTTGCTGTCAAATACCTCTGGAGGAAGTCCTTTGGATTTCCTCCACTATTGGCACAAATTTACTCTCTCTTCCTTCAACTCTATTATGTAATTTGCCAGGGAACCGTACTTTGCCACCCTCGTTGAATTACACTCCATGGCCTCCCTCTTGAAACCCTACCTCTTCCTCTCCCTACAGGATCTGGCTGACTTCTACAAAGCCAAGCATGACATGATCAGTAGCTGTAATCACCATTCACCACCACTGAGATTTTTCATATGGTCTCCTCCTCTAATCCATCATGACCTCTTTGATTTCTTCCTGAGCATCTATTTTTCCTTACAATATAGGCATGCTTTGGTATCGCCCATCCAAAATGTCATTCCTTGATGCCACACAGAGCTAAAAAATTCTTGCCAGAAAATATGATTTCGTTGACATCAAAATCTTCCAGGGAAAAATGTTGATTTTGATTAATTTTTTTGATTTTCTGGTTTTGAAAAACAAAACAAAAATGCTATTTTGAAATTTTTATTCTTTTCCTTTTGCTCAAAAATTCATGTTAGCATTTGCAGTTATAAACTTTTCAGAATTTTTTGTTCCCTGAAATGGTTTCATATTTTGACTTTTCATTCCAATTCAGAATGGAAACTAAATTCCGCACAGGATGAAAATTTTGTTTCCCAAAGGGATCTAATGCCACAGCTCCCTCCCCAAAGCCTGAGAAAATAGGAGAGTCTCATATTATGGCTTAAAGTACAACAGACGATCTCTGTCAGATCAAACAGGAAAACAAGTTTCAGAGTTGAGTGTCCTCCATTTGTATTTAAATGTTTAACTCTAGGCACTTTTATTCTGAGTTCTCCACAGTATAAATGGGGTACATTAGATCGACAAAACTGTGATGGGACATGGAAAGATAACTTGTCTCTGAGGTTTGCAGAATTCTTAATTCTTTTACTGAAAGCCATTTTTCTATACATAGGAAAAAAACTGCTGCACTCCAGTGATTTATAATCATATCTATTTTTGTACTGTATTTAATTAGTTTAATTAGAGCATTAGGTAGTGCTTATATGACCAAGGTCAGACATTTAAAGAGTCCCAATAAATAATTTCAATGAGGGCTCTGATGACAGCATATACCACAAGCATGACATCCTCAAGCAGGTCTCACTTGCAGTGATATTTGAGGCCTTGGTAAAATAGGTCAGTGACATACCAGCCATAAGAGTTAGTATCTATATCTTTCTGGGGTCCATCTTTCTGCATATTATCTTTTGCCTTTTGAAATTATTAGGCTGCTCTTAGGATAGCTTGACTGTAATATGAGAGACAAGAATGACCCAGCATATAAATAAAATTCATAATCACTAATGGAATAAAACAGGTAGACTTATGTTACACTCAAAATTAAACAAATTAAGAATCTCTAGCTTTCTTATTTTACCTAGCAAAATCTTCTAGAAGTTATTCTAACGAACATTTAGAAAAAACAAGAGAGTTTATGAAGGAATGCAATAAAAATGCTTCAGAAATGTGATGTGATAGAAAAAGATTAATTTGGAGAGCTTCATCAAAGCCAGCAATGAGAAGTACGGAGGGTTGGATGTGACAAGTGAGGTCTGTATAGTTTACCACTGAAGCATACAAACCATAGTCCTAATGACTGTGCCTTGAGACAAAAAAAGTCTTCACGATTTATAAACTAAAGCCAGTATCCACTACGCCAGTTCCTGAGGGCATCAGCTTTTTCTTCATTTGTGTCAGATGACACCCATACTTTTTATATTGCAATGTAGCTTATTGTATGTACATCTCATTTAGGTGTCAGTCAGAACAACAGTTTCTGACAAATCCATACATTTAGCAAATATGTCATGCATTAATTTAAAAAATAACATAGAACAACACTGCCAGGGTACCTCCTGGGGTTCATAAGCTAAGTGGCCTGAGGCCTGGCCAGTGGTTGGAGGGGAGACCTCCAAGGGAAGAGTGTTGCAGGAAATAGAGTTCCTAATAATTTGTAGTCTGATGCCATTTTTGTGTAGACAAGACTAAGGGCTTGTCTACACAGGGCTTTAGTTTGCATCTGCAAATTTTAGTCCACACTAGTGTGTTGTGCACTAACTGGCCTGCGAGGACCCTGCTGACATGC